TAAAATTTTAGTCTAAAATTGTTACAAAATGTTAAAAAGGCACAGAAGCATGAAGCAGTTAGTGTCCAAATTCAGCATATCTACTCTCTGATGGATACAGACTCAAGCACATCATATTAAGAAAATGTTATTTTCAAAGTATCATAGAAATTTTTTTGGTTGGAAAAGACATTTAAGATCATGAGGTCCAACCATTAACTTAGCACACTGCCAAATCCACCACTAAACCAAGTCCCTAAGCAACACAACGACATATCTTTATCTTCAGGGATGGTGACTCAACCACCAACCTGAGCAGCCTGTTCCAGTGCCTGACAACCCTTTCACTGAAGACATTTTTCCCAATATCCAATCCAAACCTTCCCTGGTACAACTTGAGGCCATTTCCTCTTGTCCTATTACTTGTTACTTGGGAAAAGAGGCCAACCCCCACCAACCTCCTTTCAGGTAGCTGTAGAGCGATAAGGTCTCCCCTCAGCGTCCTTTTCTCCAGGCTAAACAACCTCCATTCCCTCAGCCACTCTTCTTAAGACTTACACTCCAGACTCTTCACCAGCTTTTTTGCCCTTCCCTCTGGACTTGCTCCAGCACCTCAATGTCATTCTTGTAGTGAGTGGCCCAGAACTGAACACAGTATTTGCTGAACAACACCCCCAGGTCCTTTTCCTCTGGGCAGCTTGCCAGCCACTCTTCCCCAAGCCTGTAGCGTTGCCTGGAGTTGTTGTGACCCAAGTGCAGGACCTGGCATTTGGCCTTGTTGAATTGTACAATTGGCCTTGGTTCATCAACCCAGCCTGTCCAGGTTCTGCAGCAGAGCCTTCCTATCCTCAGGCACATCAACACTCCCACCCAGTTTGGTGTCATCTGCAAACTTACTGAGGGTGAACTCAATCCCCTAGATACTAGATATTAAAGAGAACTAGCCCCAACACTAAGCCCTGGGGCACACCACTTGTGACTGGCCCCCAGCTAGATTTGACTTCACTCACACATTTCTTTTAAAGAAAATATTCTTAAAAATAAAATATCTGTATACTTTATAGCTATGTCCAGTGAAGACTTCACACCAAGTCAATAGAACCGGCTAACAAGACTATCAGCTGGCAGCTTTCTCCTCTCTTAGCACCTCAGAGCCAGACTCAGATGTAGGTGAGAATGAAAAGGGCCACAGTTCATTGTACAACTGGTATTTTAAGCAACCTGATATTTAACGATATTAAGCAAAACTTGACATAGGTTAAGCCACCAAAAGTAAGGACATTAATCCCATTTAGCTTTCAAAGTACAATGAAAGCCACAGAATGAAATATATTTTGAAAAAGAAAATAAAAACCCAGGGCCTAAGCTGACAAAGTCCCACTCCTCCCCCACAAGAATATTTTTTTAAGTGACATGAACAGCTTTATCTTCTCCACCAGCAAAAACTCAATATAAAAATCAACTACAGTATCTCCTGCTTGTTCAGAAAGGAACATAATGAGGTTTATGGAACAGTGTAGTAACTCCTTAGCTGAGTGTGTACACAGCTATAACAACACATCAAGTGCAGTTTACTGTTGTTTAAAGCAAACAGCAGATGTTTCAAAATCTGAAGATTTTCTGCAGCCCACAGTTAAGTGGAAAGGACTAAGACTACCCTATACTCAGTCAGACTTAGGAAAGCTGATTAAATTGTATGAAGATCCTTGTATTTTCCTCCCTATATAATAAAAAAAATCCTAGCTTAAACAAGGATTTAATTTCAGAATTCAGAGTATCTGTGACTGCAGAGAAACAAGCTGTCTAGCTGCAGAGAAAGAGACAAGTATATACAAAGAATAAAATAAATTTACATTATTAACTGCAATAAGCTGGAAAGACTGCTGTAAATACAACATAAAATGGTGTATAGAATCCACAACCAGTAAATACCAAGCTACAATGGCCACTTTACAGAGAGAAAACCCATCCCTCCAAAACCTAGGAGGCAGTGTTTCGCATTGACTTCTTCCCCTATATCCTCTGACAAATTCTTCCACTGTTCTCCAAACTCAAAAGCTATCAGTATTTACCCCCATTGCTGCTGCAGATTAAGGATATGCCACTTACTACAATGCAACTAATGCAAAGTAAACACGTAAGTTAACTTGCTTAAGTCTTAAGTCTGCAGTTGTTAGCATGGTCATCTAGAACTACTGAACTTGACACGTATGTCTTAAAATCACCTTTTAAAAACCATATTAAAAAAAAAGAAAAGAAAAAAAAAGGAAGAAGTAGAACAACATTGACTGGTCTTGGGTCATTGGCTTCTAAATAAAACTCAAAGTGGATGCTTTTGTTTCCCTCTTTCACTAGCAATTAAACATCAAGCTGCGCTTCAGACGTTTGTCACAGGAGCCAGAGATGTAGTATTTGTATGGTTTACCAGCAGTAATAAGAGACTTGTAGAATTTGCCTTCTAACCATGCAAGAATCACTATGAAAATAATGTTGACAGCTGAATTATTCAAAATCCAGCTGTGACAGGAGGTAATTTGTATCCTTACAATCTTTGATTAAACTGCAGTTTCCCTCATGAAATTAGGAAAATGCAGCCTAATTACTTCCATCTAACCAGAGGCAAGCAATACAAACTTCAGTTGAAAAAGTAAACTAAAACTTATCAGAAAACCAAAACCACAAGCAATTCATTAAGATCTTACAAAAAAGGGTTAGTGGAGAATACATTTTTTCACTCTAAGTTGCCCTATTTTCACTGCCATTGTTACAAAAATAATTACTAAGTGATGATGAAAGATGACAAGACTCTTGCTCATTAGACAGAAAAGACTGTCGAGTTACCTCTCAGAATACAATTCTTTTTTACTAAAAGTAGGGGTCAGCTTCTACATACTGACAGCAGAAGTTTTTAATCCCAGCAGTTCAGGAATAGCATTCTTCTTGTGATTTCTTGTTTAAATTAGCAGGCAATATTTGAGCATATATTAAGTACCAAGTGCAACACTAACACTACATGAATACTTAGAAGGTGAGGGCAGATCTTAACAAAAAGTCTGAAAAATATGAACCACCTTGAAGTTTATTTATTTCTCAAAAGAGCACTGAAAATTAATTCTGTATTTTAATAAACTCAATTCAAACACTATAAAAGCACATTATTGAAGTCAAAACCTAAAATTCAGTAGTTTTTTCTAGTAAGACCTACATTAGTGGATAATTCACTATAAAATGTGCAGGTAGTGAATAATTTGATTATAAAAGCAGAACATTACAAAAGCAAGCAAAAAAAAAAAAAAGAAAAAGAAAAAGAAAGCCTCAGCTGCTTCCTGTTATGAGATGCTGTGTACCTTAACACAATGTTCAACACTTTTTCCTCTAGAGAAATACGAATGTTTGAGGGGGGTCTCATTTACAAATATCCTACCGATCTTACCTCATCACACAATAGCTACATCCAATGTACAACTGCATTCAGAAGCCATCTAATGCAAGTTAGACAAAGAAACTTTCAAAATTTTCAGAATTGGAAAGTTACATTAATAGGTATGTCGTCTCCAATGGAGTATAAAAAGCTCTGCAATTCTTTTCTGATAAGAGCATTCTTGCAGTTATAAAAGAGCTGTTCAGCAACTGCAGTAAAACCAGAGTCCCAAACTGATGCATCCACCAATTTTATAACTCCCCATTCACTAGTTCAACTATTCCAGCTAATCTCAAGGAAAGCAATTCCAGCCTCTTCTGGTTTTAGGTTTAGATATGCATTTAAGAAGTAAAACTTTATGAATTTTACTACTTAAACACATATCTACTTCAGGACAACTAATGTATACTTGCAATGTCACTGCAGGTCCATTGGTACAGTTTTTATTCTGATGCTTCTTTACTAGATTAACAGTGCAGCCCTCCTCCCTATAACTGGCCTTTAGGCTGGATACCAGGAAAAGGTTTTTCACCCAGAGGATGGTTGAGCACTGGAACAAGCTCCTCAGGGAAGTAGTCACAGCACCCAGCCTGCCTGAGTTCAAGAAGCATTTGGATGATACTCTCAGGTGCATGGTGTGATTCTTGGGGTGCCCTATACAGGCATAGGAATTGGACTCAATGATCCTGATGGACCCTTCCAACTCAGCAGATTCTATGAGTCTACTTGTGTTTTTTTGTCACTAGAGCGGTATTGAAAACACTGGAAAAGGTCTTATTATTTAGTCTAAGATTTTTTTTTTAATTAGCTGATCAGCATATCACAACATACTGATAAATTGGCTGGTTTTAATCCATAGATTTTTAACACTACTGATATTAAAATGGATAAAAATTAAGGAAGTGCAACTCACCTTTTAGTCACTAAACAGTGGAGGGTTTTTTTTATCACTGCCTCCTCAACAGGAAGAAATTATTCCTGGTCAGCTGCATAAGAACTATCTTGTTCAATTTCTTAAGTCACACGCACTTTGAGTAAAGTATATGCATCTACATTACAGCTAGCAAAAGTATACTCCATTATTTTATTATACAGGTTCATGAAATGAAAATGCTTTTGATGTACTGAAAGCTTAGATGAATACCAGTCAAGAAAAAAATTATCAAATTGGCCACAGATGCTTACGACATATAAACATGTCCTAAAACTACCTAGAAGTTTTAGATGACCTAAATCATGCAGCTTCACTATTGGATTTTATGGTTTTGATTTACATTCCATGCAACTTCAAAACGCCTACAATGAGTGAACCAAGGTGGGCTGTTAGCTCCTCTATAGCAGTTAACCAATGTTATATTCCTATCCATTACAGCCATGTAAAAATAGGTAGCTTTGTGCAATACATATCGAAAGTTGGGCCAAGCTCTCTTACATTTCCCATGTCAAAGATATACAGGCTATACACAGAACAGTGACAGGGTATCATCAGATTCCAGTCTCTGAAGATTATTCATTTGAATTCCATACAAAGTAAAACTGAACACGAGGTGAAATCTGAGTAACCAAGAAGCAAGCTTTACTATAACTTTATAGCAAGATCACTGTAAGCTTTCCCCTGTTAAAAGATTCTATTCAACATCTTCAATAGTCAAAGACTCTTAACCAAGAAGTGAGACATGATGTATTACATCAGAGGTTATTTAGCAGGTCCTGCTTTTAACAATTAAAAGCCGCACTTGATCAAAAGGCAGGAAAAGAGCCTTTAAAAAAAGCTCCTAAATATTGTTAGGAAGTATTTTTTCCTTTAATTTCAAATCTAATATCAGTTACATTAAAGCCTGTAGGTTACAGAAAAGAAAAAGGGTCAAGGCACAAATTAACTGTAATGGGAAAAAGCTGATTGAAAAATTGAGCCTCATTTACATACCTGTCCTTGCTGCAATGAGATGTGTTGCTTTGTCAGGATCATCAGCACTCAGTACAAGATTCTTCACAATTTTAGCTCCAAGTGCTGTGGCATGATAGTGCTCCCTTGTTTTCTCAATGGGAAAGTTTGTTGGGTAGAGTCCACTAAATATTATGGTTACATCTGCCAACACTTTACTTTTCAGTTCTGGTACTATTTTTCTGATGTCTGGAATTTCCTCAATCTCCTTTTTTAGGTATTTATCATACTTTGTGTAATAATCAGTGTGAACCCGCACAAGGATCTCTTCGAGGTATATTAAATGGTCATCATCATCTGTATCATCTTCCTCTTCTTCTTCCTCCATACTCTGGTCTAAGGACTCACCCATTGTAATCCCAGACTGTTCACTATTCTGAGATTCTGTTTCAGCTTCTTTCTTGTCTGTACACCCATTTCCTGAATCACAAAGGCTTTCCTGTTCACTTTCTTCTTGTGCTTCAAGATCATTTTTGTCATTAATATTTTCACTACATAGAGACTGTATGTCTGCAGAATGGTTTACCAGACCATCCTTTTTTTCAGTCACATCAGCACAACTTATTTTCTGCAAATTTTCATCCTGCGAAGGTTGTCTGGATTTCTTCCAGCTTCTCTTTTCCTCAATCTCAGTATCTGATACAGAAATGGATGACTTTCTGGTATCCAATCCACCATCACTTTCACTGTCACTAGACAGTTCAAAGTCCAAGTCATTTGTTGTCTTGTCTTGGGTTTGCTGCTTCTCTGTCACTGTTCCATCAACTTGTTCTGAAAAAATCTGAGACTCTTTTGTATTTGTCAAATCATTAATGACCTCACTGTCCATTTTGTGCTCAGTGCTATCGTTTAAGGATTCCTGGGCATTACCTTTTTCACAAGAGTATTTATCTGAGTCAGATATTTCACTGCTTACAGAAGAACTTCCATTTGCAGTGCAACTGTCTTTTGTAGCTTTTTTGAGACCATTGCTTTGTTCTTCTACACATGTAACATTCTTTATTTCTTCAGCATCTTTTGCTGATGTCACTGCTGAACACAGTGCCTCTGTTTTTGTAGAGTGGTTTACTAAAACACAGGAAAGAAATAAAACATTCATATATTTTCTTTTTTAAGCTTAATCAAAATTTACATTTTCTTTTTCCTTAAACACACAGTTATCATACGCAGCTATACTTCACTGTGTTTAGAAATAACAACTAGGCTTTTCGAGGTTAAGACAATTTAGGTTCAATCATTACTAGAAAAAACAGGAAAACTTAAAAAGCTTCACTTTTGTAAAGAAGCTGTGTAAACAGTTTTAAAAAATAGATCACGCAAGTCATAACATCAGGGGATACATTGTAGCATGAGTTTTAACAACTACATCGCAGGGAATAAAACTACAGCAGGGAAGAAATAAAAGGGGGGACAGAATTGACTTCAGGTCTCAATCCAGAACTACAATAGCTTCCTTTATAAACTCATATTCCTTTCAACTATTTTCCATTTTTCATAACCAAAATAACTGTATTTCAGTACTGAAAAGATATACAGGTTTTAGCAATACTAAGATGCTGTTCAATATTCATTTGAAACTCTCCTGGAATGCAAGTAAATGGTAAAATACACAGCAGAAAAAGTTTCAGGATATGTCTTCAGATGTCTGCAGAAGGAGACAAAAAACTGCAGACATCCAGGAATTTTCACACAAACATTCATCAGGAACACTAGATGAAGCCACCCTGCTTTGCCTCTCCTTTGTTTGCATGTCCCTGCCCTGCAAGTAACAATACCAGTCAAGTGTAGAGGTCCTACATCATAGTGGCTTGATTCAGTTTGAGTGTGTCATTATTGTTTCCAAACTGGACATCTTCAGTTCAACAAGGGAAATTTTTTAAAGAGTGATGTCAAGTAAATTAAGTTAAAAAAAAATAGAAAACCAACCAAACAAAACCCATCCCTTGCCTGAACTGTAAAAAAACTTGCAATTACTTGCTTCTCTTGCCAAATGACAGAACATCACATTCAGTAGATGCTAAAATCCCACACTAATTTTGGTAGCATGATTTAGGCAGGGAGGTATGCAAAGATAAAAACATCATTTTTTCAGCAGTATGTTGCTACCAGATTTTATTAACTATTAGACCAAAGCAGAACAGAGAAGAGCAAAGAAAAGGAGAAAGAAGAGGAATTGCTTCTCTGACCCCCTACAGAGAAAATCTGTCTTGTTTTACATAGAAGGACGAAGAGAGAAACTGTCCTCCTCCTACAGGTTCTTGAACAATTTGATGTATTGCCAAAAATAAAGCTATCAACAAGTGCATGAAGCTCAACAAGTCCAGTTTCACTAAGATACCTGCATTTGTAATGCAGGAGCACTCGCTGTCAACTACAATAATTTAGGATTGCTCATCTGAGTGTAGAAGTAATACTAAAAAGACAACCACAATAAATTACATCAAACGTACTTGAAAAGTGGAAAAAGTTATAAAAGTGGTTAAAAAAAAAATTATAATTACCTTTCTTTTTCATTTGAATTTCTCTTGATCCAGGAGGTGCATTAATATCTCCTATCCCCTGGAAGTATACATATTTCTTCACAGTTATCAAATTGGGTGCAAACTTCCAAACATCCTCTCTATCATCAATGATGCAAACCATGGAATCCCCACATGGAAAGAGATCTCTAAGAGACAAAGTATTTGATAAAATTAACCCCATTTTAGCAATTAATACTACCAAGGAAAGTTTACGTTCTGGTTTATTACAAGCATGTGTGCAGGACCTGCTTACACATTAATTTATTTTAAAAAGCAACATTAAAATTACGTAATTCAACATACAATATTTGAACTAATTAAAGTTAATTAAAAAAGTTAAGAACTATTTTAAAAACTACCTCAAAGGCTAGAAGCAGGAACTAACAAGACTTGGCAAGAACAAAACACTACAATATTTCCGTCTAGTTTACACAGTTTACGTTGATGAACAACCCAAAGCCAACTACTACATGGGCAATATAATATCTATATATAACTAGGAAAAAGACACAGGGACAGTTTTTGAAGAGCAGAGTAATTCAAACCAAGATAAAAAAAGCCAAAAAATACTAACATATCACCTAGATGGAAGAGGTAGAAAAGAATCATAGAATGGTTGACTCTGGAAGGGACATCTAGTTCCAAATGTCTGTGGCTCCACAACTGGGCACAGTAGAAGAAGGTGAAGGTCTCATGAGAGCACAGTAGAGGAGGAGACTCAACTCCCTTGACCTGTGGGCCATCTTTCTTTTGATGCAGCCCAAGACATGATTAGCTTTCTGGGCTGCAAGCTGACCGTGCTGGCTCATGCTAAACTTCTCATCAACCCTCAAGTCCTCCTCCTCAGGCTGTTCTCAATCCATTCTCCAACCATCCTGTACTTCTGCTTGAGATTGCCTGGACCCAAGTGCAGGACCTTGCACCTGGACTTACTGAATTTTATGAGTTTGGCATGGGCCTACCTCAAGTCAATCAAGGTCCTTCAGGATGGCCTTAAGTGTTACAAAAGCTTACATAAACAAGTGTCTAAAACACAGTAAGAGAAGAACAAAGCTTCTGATTTGCTATAGTCTGATAATTTTTAATTTAGCTTTATGAAATACCAAACATACCTGTCTTTTAGAAAAAATATTGGCTTTATACTCTCGAAAAAGATCAGAATCCGAATTTAGACTAGAACATGAACATAGGCTCTAGATTACCTAATGTCAAGAAACACTGCAGAAGAGAAGTTGCTATATGCATAGCACATTTGAAAACCAGAATACTAGACATTCAAATATGAAATAACCTCAAACTGAGAATTTTGGTATTTTAAAAAAACCCACAACATATAAGTCATTATACAAGATCACAAACTATAAAGTATAAATATAGAATATAGAATTGTTAAGGCACCTTAAAGGTCATCAAGTTCCAACCTCTCTGCCATCTGCAGGGACCCTTACCACTAGACCAGGTTGCACAAACCTCATCCAACTTGGCCTTATAAACCTCCAGGGATGGGGCATCAACAAGGTGTAGAACCTTGTACTTGGCCCTGTTGAACTTCATGAGGTTGACACTGGCCCACCTCTCCAGCCTGGCAAGGTCCCTCTGGATGACATCCCTTCCCTCTTGGATGTCAACCACATCACACAGCTTGGTATTGTCAGCAAACTTGCTGAGGATACACTCGACCCCACTGTCAATATCTCCAATAAAGATGCTAAACAAATCTGGACCCAGTACTGACTGATCCCTGAGGAACACCACTCATCACTTGCCTCCAGTTGGACACTTGGCCCTGGACCACAACTCTCTGTCCATCTGTCTAATCCATGCTGTGTCAGTTTGGAGTTCGGAGAGCAGGACGTCATGTGGGACAGTGGCAAATGCCTTGCATTATTTTAAGATTTAAAAGTATAAGTAAAAACACGATGCCATTGCTTCACATTCATACTGTTCTAGGTCCACAGAGCCCATTACGTAGATGAAATGCTGCAATACCCAACTTCTAAGTTTTATCGAGATGATGTTGATATTGAAGAGGCAAATAAGGAAGGACTATAAACATGTGAAATACAGAGGGAGTAATTATATTTAACATGTTGTGTCTCTTTGTTATCCGTTTTTCTTAATGCATAAGACCCATATACATACCTAAGATTACCAGTTTTAGAAAATGGATCAATACATTCATCCCTTGACAATATCCGATGGGAAAAAAGCTTCTTTTCAGGGTCCAAAAATCCTTTTGAAAGAAGAAATTTAAAAGTTAATGTTCAAGATGTTTGTTTCTTGTTTATGTTCGACATAAATCTGTGCAATAGCAGTTCTAACTAGGAGACAATTTTAAGGTATGAGATGCTGTATTGGGAAAAGGGTAAACATAGTGAATGAAGTATTTATAACTAATGCAGTAGAATTAATTTTAAAAATCCCATATTCTTTTTTTTCAACATAGCAACAAAATTGAAATTAATATAACCAAGTTTGTATCAGCCAAATCAATCAGGCTGAAAGAGATACAGCAGGGGATAGATACATGTGATTTTTGCAACTTAGATTTACCTTTCTATAGGTGGTTCTTTAAAGCTAAATGCTCTCCTTAGCTCATTATGCCTAGGGACTGCAGAGAAGTCTCACAAGAGTTGGCCATGTGCTGCAATACTTAAGCACAATGAGTAAGTTAAGGGACAGTCTTAGCCAGAGCTCTTGCATTTGTAGGTTTTAAGTTGTACCTCTAAGAAATAATGTAATACATTTACAGACCATGGAATATATACTGGGATTCCTAGAAATATTTAGGCCCAGTTGTAGGAACTTTTCTGACTGTAGTATTTCAAGGAAAAAAAAAAAAAAAAAAAAAGGCAAACCAAAAACAAAACAGGAGAAGCTGTGCTAACTGATCTTAAAGCAAGATAAAATGCCATTATTTAGGAAAATGGTGAGTTGGGTGTACAAACACACATGCACATGCTTCTGAACCCAGCCTGTAATAAATGAAGTTCATCTTCATTAACAGATCACAGCCACGTAATCACTTAGAAAGAAACTGCCATTTTACATGCTCATCTGAATTTTGCATTTTACTGAATTTGCACTGAAGTTAGTATCAGCTTCTCATTCTCCTGAATATTACAAGGCAGTCAATACTTATTTAGATTTTTTTAAAGTTTTAAATATTTTTTTTTTAAATAGTGGCCATCTTATAGCCAGAAAGAGAGTTCAAGATGACTACAAACTCTAATGACCAACTTGAATTTTCTTTGAAGGAGCTCTGAGATTTGCATGGAATACACATTCAACTTCTTTAAGAAGTCCAGCTCCCAGGAGCATGTTAAGTTGGCTCTTGAAAAACAGAGGGCATAAATAAATTTTAAAAAAATAAATAAATAAACAAAAACAGAAAAAATTAGTCATCACTTCTAAAAAGTTGATCCTGTTGATCCTGTACATTTAAGTGTAATTGGAATAACTTAAAACCCATAAAAGCAAGAAAATTCCGAGTTAAGGACACAGGTTCAACCTTAACTCACCCGACTATGTTTAAGAATTGCTGCAAACTCGCAGAATCATCCCCTGTAGTGAGACCCTTGCAGTACCTAGGCATAATGAATTGTGAGAATTAGCTACAAAGATTTATTGCTGTACACACAGATGTTCTGACAAACTACATAAGCTGTCATACCAGTTGCTGTTCTACCCAACCAAATTATCTTCTACTAATTCTCTTAATTATCTGAATACAGAGGGACTCTCTACATGAAACTGGAGTACTAATGAAATGGCAAAACCACAGTGAGACGTTCACTTACAGTACCGTTCAGCTAAATTAAGAAAAGGGAAGCTGAACTAAGAAAGCCCAAAACCAGAAATCCTAGCTACTAGGGATTAAGGATGAGGTAGTATTCTGGAGCTTTTCAATAATGGTTTGGTAAAGACTTATTAATTTTAATACTTTTGCCCCCTTGGTAATTCACCGAATTCACTGAAAATGTAGCTCACCAGAGATGCAGCAGCACAGATAAAAGCCCATCTTAAGAGAGTCTGGTCTTGCAAACCTAAGCTACTTGAACAGCAATACAGGAAACAGCACTGGTCTTTTGAAGAAGTTCTTAAACTGTTTTGTTTCTTTTGCATGTTGTCTAGCCAATGGAATCAATATAAGACACAATCCTGATGTTTTTACAATTCAGAGAAATGGCAGATAACACTTAATTTGTCATGCATTATATGTTGTCTTCAATAATATGTTAATATTGTCTTTAGATCTTTGAAAAGGCTAACTTGGTTATTCACTAATTTAGCAATTCTACTCAGTGCAAGAAGAAACATGACTCCCATGTCAGTGGAAACTAATTTTAAATTGGTTTATGATTGCAAGTAGAACATAAATCTGAAGAAATAAAAACTTTACAGTAAAAATAAGTAGATTGAGATATGCTCTGCAAGATAGTTTAAAACTAAGAAAAGACTAAGATTTTACTTTATTAAAAAAATATAATTATTGTACTACTTCCAGTAGCAAAAAACACCTGAGAGACCCTAATTATGAAAAATTTTACTACCTTTCAAAATGAAAACCTTTTCACAAACTACATATTGACAGTTTTAGAATTTTAAGATAGTACACAGTTTGGTTATTAACCTTTAATAAGGAAGATGCAGGTCTCAAACAGATTATACCTTCCAAAATATTGGTGGCTTTTTCTTTAAGAAAAATCAGTACAGGCCACCAAAAAAAAAAATAATCTGTTCAGTTGTCATTTTTCTGCGGAGGCATTTTGTTACAAGTTTCTATAACTTTGGTGCGATTAAAAGATCTATGTGTAAACCCATTGAGTACACAGAAACAGCAAAAGTGTTCCTGAGAAGTACTCTTAAATTTGTTTAATTTATTTATTCCTGTCCATTACCTACCACCTTATCCTGGAAAATTATTATGCTCAGTTTGCTGCCTTAGTGTTCATAGGAATTATTTTTTTTTAATGGAGAAGAATCAGTATGCACAAATCATTCCAGAAGAAGGATAAATGCTGATGAATTTGTCATTTTGTAAGCATGTTTGACTTGTACTTTTTATAGAATCATAAAATCATAGAATGTATGGGGTTGAAAAGGACCCTTAAAGGCCCCCCTGAAGTGTGCAGGGACCTTTATGACTAAATGGGGTTGCTTAGAGCCTTGTCAAGCCTGACCTTGAATGTTGGCAGGGATGGGACCTCCACCACCCCTGTGGGCAACATGTTCCAGTGCTTCATCACCCTCATGGTAAAGAACTTCTTCCTATCATCTAATCTGAATCTACCCTGCTCTAGTTCAAGACCATTGCTTCTTGTCCTATCACTACACACACTTGTAAAAAGTCCCTCCCTAGCTTTCCTGTAGGCCCTTTCAGGTACTGGAAGGCAGCTGATGGTTGCCCCAGAAACTTTTTCCTCTCCAGGCTTAACAATCCCAGCTCTCTCAGCCTGTCATCGTTGCAGAGGTGCTACAGCCCTCTGATCATTTTTGTGGCTCTCCTCTGGACTTGCTTCAGGAGCTCTACATCCTTCTTGTGCTGGTGGCTCCAGAACTGGACACATTACTCCAGGTGAGGTCTCGTAAGAGCAGAGTAGAGGGGAAGAATCACCTCCCTTGACCTGCTGGCCACTCTTCTTTTGATGCAGCCCAGGACACAGTTGGCCCTCTGGGCTGCAAGTCCACATTGTTTGCTCATGTCCAACTGTTCTTCCACTAGTACCTCCAAGTCCCTTTCTGCAAAGCTGCCCTCTACCACATCATCACCTAGCCTGTATTGAAAGCGGGGGTTGACCCTGCTCAGGTGCAGGACCTGCTGCACTTAGCCTTGTTGAACCTCATGAGGTTCACACTTCCCTAGCTTGTCCAGGTCCCTCTGGGTAACATCCTGTCCCTCTGGCATGTCAACCACACCAGTCAGCTTGGTGTCATCTGCAAACCTGCTGAGGCTGTCCTCAATCCCACTGTCTATATTGCTGATGTGGATATTAAATACCACTGGACTCAGTATGAACCAAACAGCCACTATTTGATCTCTAGATGGAGAGGGGTGACAAGTCATTGACCACCACTCTCTAAATGTGACCAACCAGCCTATTCCTTATCCACCGAACAGTCCACCCATCAAATCCATATCTTTCCAACTTAGAGAGAAAGATGCTGTGGGGGGCTGTGTCAAAGGCCTTGCAGAAGTCCAGATAGATGATGACATGCATTGCTTTTCCCTTGTCCACTGATGCAGTCACTCCACTGTAGGAAGCCACTAGGTTGCTTAGGCAGGATTTACCCTAGTAAAGCCATGCTGGCTCTCAAATCACCTTCCTGTACTCCATGGAACTTGTCATGACCTCTAGGAGGATCTGTTCTGTAATCTTTCCAGGCACAGAGGTGAGGCTGACAGGTCAGCAATTCCAGAGATCCTCCTTTCTACCCTTTTTAAAAATGGGTGCAATGTTTCCCTTGTTCCAGTCACCAGGGACTTCAACTCAATGCCATGACTTCTCAGATATTGGCTTTTGTATTTTAGCAGAAGGCAAAATTACTGAAGACAAAGACTTGCTGTTTCAAATTAAAACTAAGCTTCCAACTTGTTCTCATAAATTAGACAAAGTGCTAAGTATACCCCTATGTGGTTTCTTTAACAAACTGAAGAACCTATCATTATCCTTTGACTGGCATATTAGGAAGGAATATTTAGTTGACTTACCTAGCAGAGACTATTCATACCCAGCTGTTTCCTTTCCAGTATCTCACAGTCTTTACACATACAGTCTTATCAAGCTGTGTAACCTGATCTTATATAGATTCTTTTAGAAAAGTAACATGTAAACAAGACTCATAACGTTAAAAATAATAAATCACAAGATGCAATGTTCAAAAGTAACTAACTCATATTGGGCAAGTCTCAAATCTGAGAAGCAGATAGAGTTACATAGCAATTCCTAGTAGAAGTGATAGAAAAGTAGAATCCAACATGAATTAGAAGTCTTTTAAAAATAAAACTAAAATTTAATTCTGAAGAACCAGGTCCCCTTCAGTATTAAATATGCCAAAATTCTCTTACGTAGAGTAGGGAAAAAAAAGTAATAATTGGTCAAAGTAATTACCTAGGAGAGAAGTAGTATACTACTAAAGGAAGCTCTGGATTTAAAACACAAAACTCACCTTCATAAACATACAAGATACCACTTTGTAAATGTGTCAAACTAAGAAAGGGCTTAGGATAAATTACTTCAGTGGACATAAACAGTGTTTGCATGTATCAGTTAATCCCACTCCTGATAGGAGTCAGGTGGGATAAAAGAACAGGACTAACAAAATGTCATCTGTTTGCAACCAGGACATGGAAGCAGTATGTCAGATTTCACAAAGAAATATGGAGGAACCAAGAAAAAAAACCAAAAAAAACCAACACAACTTTTTCTTATAAAAAAGATTTCCGGTTTTTATTACATGTCCTTCCTTTATGTAACATAGGGATAATGGTAAAATATCAAACTGAGCCTTCTGTGAGGAATAATTTAATCAATACTGCCACCAAGTGTTCTCTATATGTATTAGGTATATATTTCTCTTACTGCACCGTGGTTGCATAGGTAAGTATGTGGATGGACCAAAGGCTGTATCATCTATTTCTCTGTACCAAAATATTTAAGCTGAAACTATTGTCCTCCCTGTAAAAGTAATCCCTTTGTAGTTTGAATGCTTTCGATGAGCTTAAACAGATTCAGGCAAAAATCCAGAAGTCTGGATGTCAGGAAGCTCAGATACCCTAATTTGCCTGTTTGGTAGCTATTCCATTATGAAATAGATGGAGCAGCTCAAATATTATGCCCACAAAGAGGCTTGGCACATTTTAAGTATCAGTCTGTGCCAACATGGGGACTGCAGGGTAATTAAAATTTTACCTCAGACTAAAATGAGCAAACACAGGAACAAATCACACACTGAGAAAAGACCAATCATTGGGAAGGCGCTTAAGACATCATGAGCTAACTACCTCGGCAACTCCTTCTTCTCCCTGTCTCTGAAGCTACATCTTCTGACTTTATTTGGTATACATCTTCTGATCTTCGGCCACATGCAGATTTTGGCATATAGATTCAAGTGAGGAAGACTGCCCACCCACTTTGTTACCAGCAGCTATTTAGACCTAGACCCTTTTGCTACACAAGAAATAATCACCCTTAAAGGACAGCAGGGAACAAAGGTGTTAATGCATTAAAAGTACACAGTGTATAATCTAACAGATAGACTGAAAAAGCTTTAGAAAGATTCTTCAAACAACTCAGCCAATAAACACAGAGTAATGTAGAAACATTCACTTGGATGGGCAGAACACGACAGGTGTCTCCTGAACTTTCTATCACGGAGAATTAGTTGGAAACCACAAATAGGTGCTCTTTTCTGATTACAGAAGTCTCTTATTTGTCATTACAAGAATATTCTGTGGCTTACTTAATGTGCATAAAGAATTTCTCTAATTAGACAATTCTTCCCTAAGTCTCTGTGATTCTTCATTAACTGCTTAGAGCTAATTAGGATTTTTAGCTATCCTAGTTAATAACTGTTTAACTATTAACTATTTTGGAATCTTCCTTTCTTACCAGGAAATGGGATCGTTGCAATAGCATTGCTGAAGGTACTCATGGCAACATTACACAAAAAAGCAGATGTGAAAGACAACTTATAAAAAAAGAAAAGCGAGGACACATGGAATGGTGGCAAGGACAGTTTGATAATCAGAGTTAGAACCTAAAACATTGTTAATTATATTGTCCTAGCTTAAATAAAGCCTGAGGTGAAAATGCTATTCTGTCAAAGAAGACTCAAGATGAGGTGAAAAACAGTTTTACAGTTTAAACATATGGTCACAGTCCTAACATGAATGACCCATTTGCTTGCATAACAGGGTAGGTTTATTTTATGCTTGTTGGAAAAAAACGGAAACATTCAAGCCAGTGACCCACACCACGGACTACTATTGTTATAATTTAAATGGAACTTTTCAGTTAGAAGAAAATATTTCAAAGTTATTGAGAAGTGTAAGTCAAAATAGTGCTAAATCTGTGTTCTTCCTCTAAGAAGTACATCTCAGCTACAGAACACAAACAGAACTGCTGTAAATGGATTTATAGCAGACAAGCTTCCTTTGGTGAAAAGAAACAGCAGGGGTAGGTTCCTCACAGGAGATAATTTCATGTTGTTCATTTTTATGGATTCTAAGCCAAGGAATGTTGAAGATAGTTTTTAGAGCCCACCAGCATAATTTCTTACTTCATTCAATAGGAAGGCATTCAAGCTCATGCCTCAGTCTGATTCCCTAATCATCAAGGAAGCAAAAAAGCACATCTGATGCGGCAGGCAGTGGAAATGTTAAGATTCTTCTTAATATTTTAAGATTTCAGGATTTGTGCTTCTAAAGCAGATTGAGAACAACAGTTAGAACTTAACTCACATCTAAAAACAAAAAAAAAAAAAAAAAAAAATTTCTAAAATTTAAAGACCATACAGGCACTGCCTTGTAAACAACCCAGGAATTCTGCTGACAGGACTATTTAGGAAATGTGTTTTTGCACAAGACGAAGAACATATACTTGAAAACAACCGCAGAAAGAAAACTAGTTATGCGAGTATGGAGGCCGATTACATAAATATTATTACATGTGAAATACTACTCACCTGCAATTGTATGTGCATACAGCCTGCTGCCAAAAGTAAAAACATGCAATTCATACAGCTTGGCAATTTTTTCCAGGAATTCCTTACAATGAGGACGCAAACGAGTATGCAACATAGGCTCACCTCGACCTAGTTGGAAATGAAATATTCCCTAGAAGAAAAAGCATGTTTCATATTATCAAAATACCAAACAAAAATACCAGCATTCCACAAGTGCCATCTTCCACCACTACTTTTATTCAGTCTGACTAGGTTAAAGCAAGCTTTGGTCACAAAGGTTATGTGTATGAATAAAATCCAAAGCACAATTTCGCTCCGTGTCAGGCAGTTTAGCACTAAATTGTTCAAATGCAGAAAGGAAGCTGTACTGTTGAGAAGCTTTTGAATAGGATAACTTTCATTCAAAACTGTACTCGTAGCAAACCAGTATGAAAAAAGCAACTTGAGAAATCTCTTTAAAAGTTCAGGTTCTCCAATCAGTACTACTCAGTGAGCTTCAGTCAGATTAGTTTTAGACTTTTTTGGATGAAAAAATATTATGTCCATGGAAACATACCATCAAATAGCAAACCATGAAGAAAGCTTGCAGATAAAGCTCCCAGTTAAAAATGTCAAAATATTTTTTAAATGTTTTTCTTCAAATAATGAATTTACCCAGATGAAGACCTAGCCTTTCAAATACACCAGGTTTTTTAACCCTCACACTGAATATTTGCTATTTCCTCTCAATTGCACAGCTTGTTTTTTTCTTACAGGTGTGAACACATGTTGAATGCACTGGACATAAGAGAATGGCAAGAGGAGAGAATGGCAAGAGGAGCAATCACAGTTTGTCATACTCCTTTAGAAGTAACTGTAGACACATTCCCCAGTGCTTCTTCTTTTAAAGGTTCCAAACTGGAAATATTACAAGTTAATACCCCTTCCAGTTCAATGTCAATTGTTTAATGAAGAAATTTAACTGCAACACCCAAACTACACCCCAAAAAACCAAAATTAATTTAAAAGAAATAATCATTAAAACATATTAATGGAGTGACAGACATAATAAAACTTAGGGACTTGATCAGTCCCCCAGACAGGGAGTTTGAACAGCAATTCATTATATCTGCCTCAGACTTGGAGGAGAAAAATCCCACATTACTGAGTACTCAGTTTGCGAATTGTAGAGGAAGGGAAACTGAGATTAAAAATAGCTGCCCAAAACTTCTCACTCAAGAGTGACTGGAATGGAAAAGTGCAGGAAAGTGTAAATGGAAGAAAAAAACCCCGTCATTTTTAATGCAGAGAAAAAAAAATAGTATGTTTCTGCTATTCTTCAACTACAAGTTTACGTAACCACAGAACAGTTTCTTAAAGAATCGTGATTTAAATGTTATGAGACATGTGCCTGTTGTTACTTTGACTTCAAAGTTAACACCAAATACTTACCTTATTAGACATTTGCTGGCAGTGCTGTTCTGTAGTATGGATCAATGTCTGGTCCAAATCTACCATGAGTACCAGTTTTCGATTTCGATGTAGTCGCTGTTGATCTTCTCTTCCTAGTTGTTCAGCTTGCTGTAACAATACATTCACAACTAAAATTAGCTTAGAAGAAATAAGGTTTACTGCCTTTTGTGTATTGTAAGCTTGAGAAGTTCCACTACAAACCAGCTGTGTAAGAAATAATGCTTCAACATAACTGCAGTGATGACAGCTTTGTCAGCAATTTTTCTGCAGAAAAAACAACTCCCAAAGTCTACTCTTAGATCTTTGTGATACTGGTAACTGTTAAAATTGACAAAAAATCAACATAACTTCTAAATGTAATAATTAAGTCTCCACCAAATTAATGCAAGGCCAAGAGTCTCGAGAAGAAATAGCAGTAACTTTGGGGTACACAAAGGACAGGTTCAGTAGGTCTGAAAACTTCGGTTGCTACATTCAACAATTTTCTATCAATTAGGGTTCACTATGGCTGACAACACCAAGCTGAGTACTAATAGGAAGCTGCTAATGACAGAAATGCTTTTAATTGTCAGTATAAGCTTAAAGAATATATGCCTTTAGGCATAAGTAGTTAAGATTATGTAGTTCTGTGTAGACACTAAAATTAGACGTCATACTCCTGTAAATCTGAAGTTTACTCCTCTTATTCATATTTCCAAATTTTCACCATATTAAGCCCTGCATTGACTTTAACTACTTCTGATAGCAAGCTGCAGTGTTACCCACCAGACAGCTAAACTTAAAAGTGAAGTTAAGTGGAGCTTTATGAAAAAGCAGGAGCTAAGTGAATATTGTGCTTTGAAACACTCTTCTATGATGGGGATGTTTTTAGCTGCTTTTATCTTCACATTTCTTCTCACTGGTGTTCTTTGAAGAGTTAAAAAAAAAAAAAGGAAAAAAGATCAAACAGCAAAGTTGGTAAGGAAGATAAGTAAGATGTTTATCTTCAAAATAAACACACTTTCTCCTCTAAAGAAACTGAGGGATGAACAAGCATATTTTGATAACTCAGCTGAATGGAACCTTTGAAAAATAATGAAATAAATTTAACTTCAGGTAAGATGCAAACAAACTAGCTTTACTATATCTACTGGGATCAATTCCAAGGCAAAGGGTGAAGCCAGGTTTTGAAGACATTGCAAGCTTTGAACACATTTCGGCTAGAGTGGAACCTGAATTTCCACAAACTGCTCATTCTGAGAGACAAAAACATTAAAGTAACAGGTTTTCACACTGCTTTCACAGAAATGCCAGCTTTTCAGTGCACAGCTCTAAAAAACTCCACTGTAAACCCTGAGAAAAATCAATCTGCATTAGGGTAAACACACAAAAAGCCTAGGCTATTGGTGTTCAATACCACATTTCTCTTCAAACCAAACTTTCTGTATGAAGTAAATACAACATTGAAGAAACTCCTATACTTAAGCTTCTCAACTGTGGAGCTAGAGTGAAAGGTATGAATAAAGCAAGCATGATGGCACTTACCTCAGAGCTGACTTTCAGTTCTGGGACACTGTGAACCATAGACACAGTTGCTGTGGATAATGGCACATGCTGCTTTCCGTTCTTGCTTCGTATCCTAATCATGGAGGAAAAAGAAGCATTATACAGAGAGTAATAGCTTAGGGGAAAGTTGAACACACTAAAATCTGTAGTATTAAATTAGTCAGCATAAAAAAATATTATTAAAAAGAGCTATTAATAGCACTCTTTCAAAATTCTGGTTGATGCAGATTTCTGAACAAAATGGATAAAGAGATGAAAGCAGTGCATCAAAAAAAAAAGTTACTGTGCTGTGTTGAGGCAGAAACAATCATAGGCAGATACACTTTTACAGTATCAGTGTTTGAAAGCACTGATACCCAGAAACAAAAGACACAATTAAATTTGATCCAAAGTCTACATGCACATTTTATTTAGCATCTTACACCCTTAGCTTCAGAGTTCAGAAGATTTCTTCTACGTAACACTGAACTGGTGTTTTAAATGAGCTTTTAAAAAAGAAACTGTTTTCAGACCATTTGTTGAATGAGCATAAGAATTGTTTAACAGAAAGGATGCACCACTAACACTCAACAAGCTGGCAGTGAATTGGCTGTAGTTGCACTGATGCTTTTCAATTGTAGGCTCATCAGACCTAACACATTCTTCCAGAAGTATAAGCCATCCTGTTTAAAACTGAACTCATTGCATACCCTGAATTCATATGTGTTTTTAACTAAAGAATCGCAGTGTAACAATATTTACATTTGACTGTATTCAAACCTCAAATTAAGTATTCATTCAGGACAGGAAAATTCCTATTAGTTGTTATCCTAACTTTTTGTCAGGTTTTTTGTTTCACCAAATACTTGTTTAGAAAATTTTAACTGTCAACTTTTAATTTCAAGTTATATCCAATCATTAACAGGACTACAGACTGCATAAAATTTCCAATACTCAGTCCATTTTAGCTATGAATAAAAATGAAAAATACAAGGATTTCCTTCCAAATGAAATGAGAATGCAACATTCATTTCTAAAATTCAAGCTACTGTACAGTCATTCTGGAAAACAGCTCTTGAATTAGTTATTTGACATGCATAAGAAACATGCTCTTTACCAACTGTATTAGTAATGAGATAGAGCAAAAGAGAAATAAAATAATCTTTCAAAATTGCTTTCTTTTTGGCTGAAGACTTAAATTCCTTTAGTTCCATGGCAGACTATTTCACCAAAAAAATGTAAACTGTTCTGAAGCCTTAAGTTGAAAGCACTGGGGACAAGCTAGCTCCCATTCAGCCATATTACAAATAAAGCAAGGTCACATGAATAAGACTGATATTACCTCACAGCTATTTACACCTTCAAAATTAAAACACTCAGGTTTGAGTCACAGTCGACACACCTTAAAACTCTGAACATAAAGAACAAAGTATGATACACTGCTAAGAGAACTTCTGTCTCCATGCATGCATGCTCTTCACATTTTCTGCCTAAGGTTGTAAGTTATCCTACATTTAACATCACAGAAAGAGAGTGTGCACAGTTATTAAGCCATAAATTTGTAACACAAACTGTAACTCAAGTACAGACATGGCATTTCATTCACCTATACTCCTAGTTATGAATCCCTGTAATGGTCAAAAGGAAGTAAGAGTTCTAAACAATTTATCTATCGTAACATAGAAGGAGGGCACTAAGAGGGTGCCTTGTGTAAATAACAAAAGTAAATTACGACTGGTGGGGTCTCATGAGAGCAGAGTCAAGGGTAAGTATCACCTCCCTTGGCCTGCTGGCAACGCTGCTTTTGATGCAGCCCAGGACACTGCTGGGTTTCTGGGCTACAAGCACACAATGCCAACTCATGTTGAGCTTCCCACCAACGAACACCCCCAAGTCCTTCTCCTCAGGGGTGCCCCCTATCTGTTATCTTCCCAGCCTGTATTTGGGTTTAGGATTGCCCCAAGCCAGGCCCAGGACCTTGCCCTTAGGAAAGAATACAATTAGCCATTTCCTCTTCATGTGTTGGTCTTCTCCACAAGGAACACCAATTCCTGCAATTTTTCAGTAAAGAAATATACTTTATTAAATCATTCTTAATAATGTGATCAAAAATTAATGTGATCAAAAATTAATATGCTCAAACTACTCAACTTTAAGCAAAATTTACTGAGCTAATATAGATTTTTTTTAAAAATAACACCAAATGTGAAAAAGTGCTCTATGTTGAAACGTATCTTTTAGAGGAAACACTTTCTCAGTCTCCCTTATAGGAGCAGAGTAGACCTTTTTATGTTAGGGCATATGAATACTGTTCTCTTCCCTACTAGTATCTACAACTTCACAGTTACAGGTATGATTCACACTACCAAGACTCAGAATGGAGAAGCAAAGAAGAAAATGAGATAAGAGTCTGGATCCCTAATCACAAGCAAGGAGAAGTTGGCAAAAAGAGCCACGAATACTTACTGTGTCAAGTCTTGGCCACATTCTGCACACAGGCCTTTCATAACAACAGGATGGCTGCATCCTTCCAGTCTCACCAACACACCCCTGAAAAACATGTACTAATTCAATTTATTTCAAGCATATTTCAGACACAAAGACTGAAGATTGTAAGAGTTCAAGGAATAATTTCTGGTTTATCATTTGAGTGGCAGCCCTCTAAGATACATGCTTTTGCCCTAACGGAGCGGAAAAAAGACATCAATTAAGTATCCCAATTTGACACCTTCAAAAGTCACCAAAACATGTATTAATACCAGTTTCTAACCTTAGTTTAGCAAAGAAGTTCAGAGTATTAGCAAAACAAACATTGTTTATTGAGAAACAGTTTACATTCAATTAGATAGAATGCTCTGTTAATATGCCACTGAGCTATACAGCAATGAAAATCAATACAGAAACTTTGGGTGTATATTGATTTCATCTTAGTTTTTTGTTTGTTGTGCTTTTTGTATCATGGTCAAAACACATTGCTTCAGTCTTCTGACAAAAATATTGAAATTTTTTATCCTTAAGCTTTGGATTCCCACATTTAAAAATAAAGACATGAAAAAGAGTAATTTATTCTTTCTTCCAAACAATGGCTAAAACAAAACAAAGAGCTTGATGTGCAAAGAAGAGTGACATCTACTCTTCCAAACCGTTTAGAAGACAAAGTCTGCTCTTCAGATGAATGATGCAGCAGAAGCATGCCTTTGTTCAAATTCCATTCTCAAAATTCTGAGTCTTGAGAATACCATCATTTATTTCCTCTCAATTACTGGAACAATCATTACAAGCAACTTCTACCATTTTCTTCAATACAGTTGAAGGAGTTGATCTTTCAGACAAAGCTTTTCCTTTCAAACTCTAGTAAGTATAGTCCAGCTATTACCAAATTTCTTCAACTCTGTGACCACGAACTGCAGTATCTCTAAAATTTTAGAAAAAATAAAAAGTAAAGCAGCTCTAAAAAAACCCTAATCCCTTTCATAAATTAGTTGTAGTGTTTTATCTTTGGCTTTAAGTCTGCATTACAATAAGCAGACAGCACTGGCAACAAAACCGTTCAGATGCTCAAATCTCTCATTCCTGTGTATGAGTATTAAGCATTTGGGAATTCCAAAAGGAAATCCACTTTCCAAACACCTTCTGCAACTGCTTACTTCCAGCATGTCACACGTTTCTCAATGACCAGAAGACTGATGACTCTACTAACAAAACTGCAGCTGATGCCCATGCTGAGGATTTTTTCCTCAAAGTGAAAACTATATTCAGGTCAACTTTATTTAAAGAATAATCTTCACAAGCCATCATACCACCAGTACTCCTGTTATAAAAAGCTCCCTTCTCACTGGCAGTCATCACCTGCTTGGAAATTACAGGTCTTCTTCCTGCGTAAGCAACTTGTCCTGGTTTAAGCCAGGATGAAGCACATTTGCATATGATTGTACATATGTTCTTTTATGATTAGCACTTAAAGCTGTCTAGTTTAGTTTTCAATCTGGGAAGTCTCTCTCTTTCATTCTCTCTCTCCCCTTCCCTACCTGGGTGGGAGGGGGAAAAGGAGCAAGAACATTGTTGCTGATTCAATTGCCAATCCTGAGTCAAACCATGACAGCATTTTGGATCTCCTTTTATAAATACAGTGTATATTTAACAGAACACAAATAATAACTAGTCATTATTGGTTTTCTACGAGAACTCTGCAAGAGACAAGCTATTTTTCTGGCCCATTTGCTATTGGCAATTCACGGATTACTTAGCTCCCCTCTCATGCCCTATGTCTCTATGACTTCATTTGACTCTTCTCCTTCATCCCCCTCCTTTGATAATATATCTTTTCTTTTACTTTGATTCATCATTAAGTTCCTTCTTTTTAGGCCACCACTTCACCCTAAGGCCCATGTCAGAACTGCTTATCTTCAAACTGTGTTCAGTGTATGAGCCTGAAATTACACAGACACCTAAAAGGCCAATAAACCCCACGATATAAGATACAGAAATGGGCATAAGAGTTAACAATGCCTGAGGTTTTTACCTCAATTTAATGGATTTTCAGTAGCTCAGGAAAAATAAAATTATTTTTATGCCATCTTAGAAGTCAAAATATCTTCAGGCATTCTCTCCTTCGCATCTGAGGTAATCCCACACTCCAGGAATGCAATAAGAGGGGCTGGTATACTCCTGGGCTGAGGCAAGGCTCAGATTAGGCCATGCAAGAGTTTTCCATTCAGGTACAGGCACACATCACCATACCCTTTTGATTTTAAAAAAGGAGAGATTCTTACAAAAAAATTAAGAGTACCAAATCCATTGATTTTGTTGCTAAACAGCACCTCCATAGCCCATCACACACCAAACAGCACTGATAAATACCAGCTCTACCCCTGCACATTTACATATGACCAAAATACCTAATCTTATTATGCTTGCTGGAGATAAAAAATATTCAGTACTACACCATGCCATATAATTCTCTGAGATTACATTTAACCCAAAGGGCAGATTAAGAACTCCAGAGCACCAGTAAACTTCTGAGCATGCAACCACACTGGTCAAGTTTCAAGTACAGCTGTCAGGTTCTTCAGCAGTTCTCACAGGGGAAAAAAACAAGTAACCTTCATACTACTTAACGCTGCAGAAAGGTGGCCTGGCCTCTACTAAGACTTAAGCAAACTCAAGTACTTATTTCAATTTAGCACATACTTTAATTACTAAAAAGGAATATACTGGGGAAGAACAAGCACAGAACTCCAGTAAAATTATTTTTGTGACTCTCAGAACTGGAAATACTCCTTTTACTGGAATTTTAAAAATTTAATGGCCAAGATCCACGGTAATTATCAAACAAGAGTGAGCTGAATCAAAGTGTGCATGTCTATATTTAAATGGCTGCATATACCTAATAGGGCTTCAGGTTTCTGCTCATTCTCTTCTCTGGGTCATGAGTGACATCTGCTTAAACAACAAGAGCTACTCTCATTTCTGGAGAGAAAAATAAATCCCCTCCTCCACCACATATGAAGAATTACAATACACACTACTGCTGGCAGCATTAACAGCATCTTCCTGTCTCTGCCTAGACTTCTCCAGGACTCACATGGTGGCAAGCAGAGCTCCTTGAGTACTTCAAGAATAACATTCCAAGGAAAGCTGCCACAGAAGATGCAAAAACCTTTTCCAGTTTTACAAACTGTCACAACTCTGCAAGTGAGCCAGGCACTGGGGAAGAACCACTGAGCTGTGAATGGCACATGTGTGGAGAGGACAAACCATTCTAATACCCACCCAGCCAAAGGACTGCAAGAGGAAAGCAAAATGCTCATATGGTTTCTTTTAAATAACAAACTACAATGGAATTTAAGTGAAACTTGAGCAAGTAAACAAGGAAACCCACTCTGTGATCCTACTCACATTATTTCCAGATGTGCTTGAAAATAAGAAAGAGTGACACTAAGTTTACCATCATAGCAAATTTTTATTTTTGTTGCAATGATCATGGATAGGGACATTTCCTAATTGCTTTAAGATGCAGATGACCATAAACCCATAACTGTTTTCCCAGTACTTCCCAATACTTAATATTTTGCCTGATTCTAAAATAAGTAATTTTATGAAATCAAATACAAGCATTTTGTTTTTATCAACAGAGGAAGTCAACACCTTTGGTAATTCTAAGGCCTGGTCACTAATGCTGATTCCCAGTCTAAGAACTTTCTATCAAGTGCAACCAAGGCTATGGTTCCTGGTAGGTTAATTACAGTAGAAAAGCTTGCATATAAAGTTCTTACATCTACGCTAGAATTTCCAACTCCTCAGTTGTAGCAATGAGTTTATCTGGATCACTGAAGCAAGCCCACTACAAACAAAAAACAATTCCCTAAAGGTTTATTGTGTAAATCTGGTCTTCCAGAGTGATCTAACACTTCCAGCAGGGAAGAACAATGGCATCAAGTGCAAGAGTTAGAGGAGGAGAGGACCAAGAACTCCTGAGCTACCTGATCATGGAGAAGAAACCTACCTGCAGCCACTGGGCTTGCCTAGCTGCAGCACATGAGTACAATGACCATCAGATAGCTTTACTGAAGAAAACTAACTTGAGTGTATGTAAGCCACGGCTTTCTTCCTGTTACAGCATAGTGCCACTTCCAGAGACAATTGTTCTAATGCCTTGCTGCCAAAGAATGGCAATATCTTACTTGCTTTTTCCCCCACCCCTTCTCCTTTGGCATTTTCAGAAAGGATTATTTCAGTACCTGGGGAGGCAGAAGAACTGACCAGCCCTATCCAGGTTTGCAGCTGGGCTTAAGAGAGTCAAAGAAGCTCATAGAGAAGTCCAGCAGACTGGCCCAGGAGAGAACAGAGAGAACAGCTTCAACAGCTCACACTTTGTTAGCACTTATCCATCTGTTCAAGACTAGTTTCAACATATCCATGCTATGGAGACATAACTTTTATTAATGATCTTAACATTGTTTTCAAGGAACCGTGCACTGGCATAGAAAATATAGCTCAATTTTCCAAATTTGTGAGGGAAAATAGACAGAAGTTACAAGATTAAGCTACTGCCATGCACTTATAGAATTATTTAGGTTGGAAAAGACGTTTAAGATTATCAAGTCCAACCATTAATATAACTCTACCAAGTCCACTGCTTAACCATGTCCCTAAGCACCACATGTCTTCTAAATACATGCAGGGATGGTGACTCCACTGCTTCCCTGGGCAGCCTGTTCCAGTGTTTGACAACGCTTTCTGTGAAGAAATTTTTCATAATATCCATCCTAAACCTCCCCTGGTACAACTTGAGGCTGTTTCCTCTCATCCTATCATTTGTTACTTGTGAAAAGAGATTAGCACTTGCCTCTCTACAACCTCAAGTAGTTATAGGGAGCAATAAAGTCTCAATTCAAGACTCCTTTTCTCCACATTAAATAGCCCCAGCTCCCTCAGGTGCTCCTTAAAAGTCTTATCCTTAAGACTCTTCACCAGCTTCACTGCCTTTCTCTGTACCCACTCCAGCACCTAAAATGTCCTTCTTGTACTGTGGCACCCAAAACTGA